CTTTAGATTGTAAGCTCCGTGAGGGCAGGAATGATGTGAATGTATAATATAGTGTGTGTATGTAAATTGCATAAATTGATGGTGCTATATAAGTACCTGTAATAATAATCAAAGTGTTACTAAACCCTCAACCGTAAAATCAGTCTATATATGCAGTAAAGCATGCTTGTTATATTCACTGTGGAACCTAAGGGGTTAATCCTCCACATTGTGTAAAAAGGATGTTTGATCTTGTCTTCTCTGATCCACATCTTCTTCCAATGTCTCCTAAATATCTCCTGATAGAACAGAGGGTCGGGGTCACTCTGCACTTGCTCAGTTTGGTGTGTATTGCTAGAGAGGGTTTTTTTTTTCTTGGGAGAGTGCATGTGATCAGCACAGGGCCAATCAGCACTCTGATTGGCCCTGATTTAAACCCATGAATGAACGCGATTGCAACACGGTAGTCTGGCAGTTAAAGGTTTAAATCAAGTGTGATGAGGCAACACTGGGCCCAGTGATCTTTGACACCTCCCATGTTGTTCAGGTAGATTTCCACCTCTTTAATGTTGCCTACCCCTGATATATACATACTTACATTGGTTCAAACAGAAGCAATATAAACATTGCCAGACTTAAACTTCAGCCTTAAGGGTGGGGTCCACCTTGACCTTTTCAGGAAAAGTTGAGATTTCCAATAAAATTCAACAGCCTTTGTTTCTGACTGTAATGATTATCACGTTGTTTGTGACCAGTTTACTTTACAGCGGGCCTTTAAAGTAAATGGAAATGTTATAAAACTATGTTTAGTGTCTTCCTGTAACTGCACAGTTATGAAAAGTGTTCAATATTTATTGTAGCTTAACTCTGAAATGGGATCAAAGGTAAGAAAATGGAAAAATACGTGTCTTGTGGTCAGCAGTCTGATCAATGACATAAGGCCATTTAATAGTGTGCCCTTTTCAGATTGGCTAAAGTATACACTGATCAGCCATAACATTTTGACCACTGTCAGGTAAAGTGAATAAAAGTGATTCATTACAATGGCATCTGAATGTGGATTGGGATTTATTAGGCAATAAGTGAACTCATTGTCACTGAAGTTTAAAAAATTGTCCAAGTGTAAGGATTTGAGTGACTTTGACAAGGGCCTAATTGCAATGACTAGACAATGGGGTCAGAGCAACTCCAAAACTGCAGCTCTTGTGGGATGTTCCTGGTCTCCAGAGGTCAGGACTTGCCAAAAGTGGTCCAAGGAAGAAAAACTGGCCAACTGGCAGCAGGGTCATGGGCGGCCATTAAATGGACCCCTTAGTCTTTTTATTTTCCAATAGTTAATTTTTGCTCACTTGCAGTGTACCTTTGAACTTGCTAGAAAAAGTGACCACTCCAGGAATAGCGAATTCCTCTCCTTTTCTGTTGGTGTTTAATTATTGCAGGCCCCTCCACTCACCTCTTTACATAATCTATTTTGTTGCTGCCCAACACACAGCCCATGTGCAGCCTGCAGGGTGTCAAGCACCATGTAAGCAAAAGCTTTACATGCTCCTGGCACTGGCCACATTGTAGCAACAGCACAGTTAAAGTGTACATCAGCTCCAAGGAGCAGGGCCCTCCTATCCCTCTTGTATTGAACTGTATTGTTGCTGTATTGTCCCCTGTTATATTGTAAAGCGCTAAGCAAACTGTTGGTGCTATATTAATCCTGTATAATAATAATACATTCAATCAGCTGCCAGTTTGTAAAGCTTACTGATCTGTACCTGCACACTAGCTTCCCTAGTGCTGGCCACATTCAGTGGGTCCACATATAAAAAGCAGCAGAAGCTGCCAATCTCGGCTCCATGCTTCCAGCTGTGAGGGGACTTGGGTAGGATAGAAGGATCGCCTGTTGTCTCTGCTTCCCTTGCCAGCTCTCTGCCTGTCTGCTTTCTGAAACCTCATTATCAATATATCATTGTAGGAGCTATTCCCATCCAATAGGTTGCAGAAACAGCCTTGAAGACGGAATACATTCCTCTGAAACTCATTGGCTCTATGTACATGTTTACACTTTTAATAAATGTCACATGCACCATACATCAAAGTTGCAGTTTTTTGGACATTAAGCTTCTCCTTCTGTCCGTCCCAAGTCTTCTCATTGCAACGACATAAGGCCATATCAGAAAGGTAGAAGCCACCATCCACTGTTGGGCATGTTCTACTGGAAGGGATTTTCTTCCTCTTTACCCGCAAAATCACCCACCCATGACCAGTGACCGATCCAGTTAGTCCAGCGTGGTCTCCAGCACAAAATAAAGCTATAGGGGAGAGTCAGCCTGATGCACAGCCCTGGTTACATGGAGAGGAGGTGATTATACAGAGATTGTCAGGCCTGCCCTACTACTGGAAGTCGAGCTAAATTGCTCTGCATGCTTTTTGCTGTGAATTGCATCACTGTAGCCTGGCTAGCTGCGGTGCATCAAATGCATGCGCATTTGAATGGGCTGCCCAATGTGCCACACTGGACCAAAGGTAATGCATGTGCATTGCCATTGGCAAGGTGTGTTGTGGTGCCACATATTCAAAATTACTTTTCAACACACCTTGCTGATGGCATTCCATCCCACCAATGCATATACGGAGGTAACACATGCAGTATTGTGTGGGTTACTGCAGTGCAAAAGTAATGCGTGCAAAATTCAGTATGTTAATCTTATTCTTGAACCACTTCCCGACTGTTATAGGGCCGCAGACAGGGCTGTGGAAAAGGGGGTACCACCAGTCCTCCAGTACGGGCCTAGGCCAGCAGGGGGGCCCAGGCAGCTGGGTGAATCGGATGTGGGCAGGGAGGATGATCGGCAGGGAAAGGGAGACAGTTACTTGAACCGCTCCCCTGGCTTCTTATCCTCTCCCTCCTGCTGGCTTTCAGCTGCTGCAGAGAAGGCCATACAGGGGATCTTTTCCAGTATTTACCCCCCATCACACTCATTACTCTCCCTGTGCACCATACAATTCCCCCTGCTGCCCAGGCCCCCCTGTGTGCCCCCACCCTCATAGTATTTCCAGCTTCCCCCTCTCCCTCCCACTGGCAGCTACAAGCACACAGTAGGATCCTTCAGGATGGAGAGTGGGGGAAGGGTCCAGTAAATATTTCATATATGCCAGCCCCTTTCCTGAATGAAACCAATGAGTGACCTGTACTGATCACTCACTGTGTTCAAGCATAGTAAACTTTGCCAGGTTGGCTGTATGGGGCCCCGTGGTTTCTAACAGCAGCCCTGGCGGTAAGGCTGCGCAAAATGTGTGTGTGTGTGTGTGTGTGTATGTATATATATATATATATATGATTTTGCATTTCTGGGTAGGGAGCGCGCACGCCACACTACCCATGCTGTCATTGGCAGCTACAGATGTCGATCACTGGGTCCCAGCTGGAGATTCCCCGTTGGCACCCAGCGATCGCCAAGTATCACTGACAGGGGAGAGAGCTGTGTGTAAACAACACAGGTCTCTTGTCTGCCAGCAGTAACATGCTGCTGTGTATTTCTCTGTTGTGCAGAGCAGTATGTTTCCCTAGTAAAACACACACAGCACACTTAGTAAAATAGCACACAGTTATCCCCCCTCATGTTTATCCCTTCCTGCCCAGTGTCTGTACAGGGTCAGTGCTTTTTATTAGCACTGATCACTGTATTAGTGTCATTGGGATGTCAGTCGCAGTTAGTCGGTTCCCCCACAGTCCCGCTATAAGTTGCTGATCGTCGCCATTACTAGTATAAAAAATATTCCAGTATATATACCACCATCTGTAGATGGTATAACTTTCACGTATACAAATTAATTTACAGGTATTGGGATTTTTTATGGCAAAGACATGTAGCAGAATACATTTTGGCCTAGATTTTTGAAGAAATCTGTTTTTTTTTTTTTTTTTTTTTTTTTTTTACTGGATTTGTTTTATAGCAAAAAGTGTAAAAATATATATATTTTTTTTTCCTTTTTGTTTATAGCACAAAAATAAAAAATGCAGAGGTGATCAAATACCACCAAAAGAAAGCTCTATTTGTGGGAAAAAATAAATTTCATTTCTGTACAGTGTTACATGACCGCACAATTGTCAGTTAAAATAACGTAGTGCCATATCGCAAAAAATGGCCTGGTCAGGAAGGGGGGTAAATCATCTGGAGGGCAAGTGGTTAAATAACTGCTGACTTTTGTGCAGCCCTTTAGACATGTCACGGGCGCACTCTTTGTATTTACCAGGTTGACCGTCACTGCTGTATGGCATAACTTGAGTGACAGCTTTGAGGCTGCTGACTTCACATCCAAGATGGTGTGCCCAGCAGCTGTTTTTGGGCTTTTAAATGTCTACACAAGGGTGGCTTTTATAGGTAAATAACATGCATAAAATGCATTATAGCCCCACACCATGCCACATCCAAAAACTAGTTTAAATAGTTTTAGGAACATCTGTTCCTCAGAAAAAAGGCAGATTTTATTGACCTAACACGAGGAAACATTATAAAATCACAAATTTTTATTTCCACGATTATTAAGATGGTGTTTGTATTAATTGTATTATCTTTTTCTTTTTAAATACATCTGAGATAGCAAAACACTCAACCCTGAGATGGAGTTCTGGAATTAGGCATACATATGTCATATACCAACATTACGTCATAGTATCAATTGATGATCATAAACCTGATTAGATTTCTCTGGATAGTGCCACCAGCATCTCCATGCGCAAATTGTCAATGCGTTTCATGGAAATAAAAATATGTGATTTTATAGAGTTGCCTTTTTTCTGAGGGATGTATGCTCCTTCGCTATTTATGCATGAACTACATTAAATACACCTACTATCTTTTCTGAAGGTTTTTGTTGGAATGAATGGCCTGGGGTCTCTAAGGAAGAGCTTGAGAAACATTGTGCTAGAATAGGAATGAGTAAACCGCATTGGCAGCGTGCAAGTTTAGACTGAATATCAGACTCCTCTTGTCTCTACAGGTCTTCTGCTTTCATGTGTGGTCGTCCTGATGCTCACTGTCCTCTATGAGCTGTCCAAGGTGTTGAAGTCTAACCTTCTATCCCGGGTTCTGCTGACTCTGCCACTAACTCCTGATTCCTCCCTGTCACCGTCGCTGATATCTGATAGTGAAGCTAATGTTTCTGCAAACTCTGACCCGCTGCTAACACATGAGCCCTTGTCTCCTGGAGAGAACTCCGAGCCTCTGGGATCTCCTCCTGTCCGATACTCTTCCTCTACCTACCGGTATGTTTTGTATTGTCTTTGGTCTGTTCTTCATTTCATTCCATATACAGTATTAGCATGGCTGTTTATTGCAGGAAACCTGTCAGTAGGAAAACATGAAGCCTAATGCTGCTGACCTCTCTTTCTGAATATACTATATTCCTGGCTTCCATGCTTTCCCTCTTGCTTCAAAATGTGCTGCCACTGACTAGTAATGCATATGTAGAAAAGGAATTCTGGTTATCTTGATCTTCATGCATGTTTCAAGCCAATGGCTTATAAAGTAGTGAAGGATCAACCTCACAGCCAAGCAACAAGCATTTTCAGGTTTATTTTGAGCCCCGACAGTTTTTTTTTTTTTTTGCCATCTGTGCCCCATTGAGTAGATTTCCCTTCACTTCCTGTCCAATAGCCAAACAGGGAGTGAGAGGAAATGCCTTAAAATTAAGGGAACCCATGGGGACCCCCCCAAGTCACCAGAACTAATGTGCCCAATGGAAGATTTCCCCTTATTTCTCGGGACAACCCAAAATTTGGGGTTTTCACTCTAGATGATAATGGTAAATAGGACAAATTAGAGGGTGAACCTCCCTAACGGACACAGAGAGCAAGAAAAACTGAATGTGTTCTAATCCCTTTCCACTCCTAATCCAAAACTAATTAAAGTTTTCCCTTATAGTTATACTTGGAAATGCTTATTACTGCAGTATGTAGAAATGAGAAGATGACATTGTCATTAGCTGTGCAGCAGGCATGTCCCTGCTGGCCCTAGAAAGATGATAGGATTTGTTGTTTCTGAACCCAGTGCTGCTAGATGACCTCATCCCTTCCTGCAGAACATTCCATTTGGCTTTCAATTTGAAAATATTTTCAGCAGTTTACAGGAAAATACAATGGCAGGATTCTGTAATAAATTTAGCAGGAACCTATACATGAGTTTTTTCCCCCCCCCCCCCCCCCCTTTTTTTTTTTTTTAACCTTAACCCTCCCCAGCCACTTTCTGCCATCTAATCCCTAGCTCCCTTCTCTCCCAGAACCACAAATATTTTCATAATTACTTTTTTCACACTTTCTAGGTTCTCATCTAGGTGAGATTAACGTGTCATTTGCCCACAACGGGAGGCTGTGGAGTATACCAGTGAGCATGCACCATGATGCGTGTTCAGATGGATAGTTGTTTCTTCCTGATACTTGCAGACTCCCCCTGATGATGCAACACATGTGCATCATCAGGGTAGCCTCAGGAGCCCAGATGAGACAGCTAGCTTCCTGCTGTTGACAACACAGATAAAGATGGCAGTGCAGGATATGTTTTTCAGCGGATTCTTAGAGAACACCGCTGTATCACTGGCCGTGTATGCAATTTATGAATTACCCACCGATAAAGGAAGGGGGTAGGATAAATAGGAAAGGGGTTGGGGGGAGGTCTGTGAGGAGCCATTTTAAATGTCACTTTGCATTGTGCGTTCCTGTATGATTCACTGTGCATTCCCATGTGATTCTCATTTTGAATGGGCTGAAATCGCACCACACCAAAAATAGTGCATGCCCTATGTTTTAAAACGCACTGCAACTGGATCACATGGTACAAAAGTACCATACTTTTGTGACCTGAATTTGGGGTGTTAATTTTTTATTGACACTCATTGAAAATGGCAAATATAGTGCATTTTGCATGTGGTTTGAATCGCACAGCCACGCTCAGTGTGTTTGTGTGATTCAGATTCATGGTGTGAACCGGCCCTCAATCAAGGACCTCTAACTGCCCATTGTCTGTCTCTTCCAGGTAGGGGCACATTGGTTTTCATTAGTAAGCATGTCAAAGGAAAACACTATGTGGGTTATTTACTAAAACTGGGGAGTGCAAAATCTGGTGCATCACTGCATAGAAACCAATCAGCTTCCAGGTTTTTTTTTATCAAAGCTTAATGGAACAAGCTGAAGTTAAAGGCTGATTGGCTACCATGCACATCTGCACCATATTCTGAATGCTCCAGTTTTACCCTAGGTTCACACAGCGTTTTTCAGAAACGCACTACAGTCCATTTAACATGATTTCCTATGGGATACGTTCATATCTCCGCGTTTTCACAAGGTGCATTTTTTTGGAAAGAGTCAGGGACTTTTTTGAACACAAAAAGTTGCATTTTTAGTTCTATAGACTTCAATGGAAATGCTACAGAAAAGCATGTTGTGCATTTTCGCCGCTTTTTTTGTGCATTTTGCTGTTTCAAGTTGCCTAGCAACAAGGAAAAAAAAAATGCAAAATGCGGCAAAAATGGATCAGGCACAAACTGAATAGGCCTTAGTAAATTTCTCACTGTCACTTGATTCTCCAAAATAAACTGGAAACTATAGACTTTTGCTGGACCTAGAAAAGGGGAATCATAGTTTTTGTGATTTTTATTTAAGAGTTTAATGGATAAGTTTACTTTTTTGGAACATGATACATGCTCCACCTGTTTTTAGGGCGGAACATGTAACATGTTCCCACAGCTGCAGCCTTTCCCCCTCCCAATGACAGCGAGCAGGGATCTTTATTTGAAAATAACTTGCCCGTGTCATTCATTTCCAGTTTCCTGTGAATGTCGTGAACTACAAGTACTGACAGCCTTTGTAGCGAACGATTGTTGTTCTGAATGGACTGTAGGGTTGTTGAGGAGCGGCCTCGTAGCTCATTCACAAGCCTTGCCACTTGTAAACCGTCAGCCCATATGTAGGAGTCTGGCATTGCACCCCTGATCCACAAATCTCGGGTACAATGCTTTCCAGGCTCCTTAGGGAAAAGATAATAAAATGCACATTTTTTTTTCCTGCAAAAAAGACAGGCATTTATAATTTATCAAAAGGTGAACTTATCTTTTAAAGTTGACCTGTCATGAATGACTTGGTACTTTTTTTTTTTTTTTTTTTTTTTTTAGTTACATGTCTTATTTAAACACTGCAGTCTTAAGTAAATATTTCTCTCTGTATGTTTTAATGTATTTTATCGGTCATAGGGAATTTTCAAAGTGTTATATGCAGCCTACATATTTCTTCGAGCAGTTTCTTTTTAAATGACTTTTATTTTATTGTTCCCTGTTCTGCTCAAAGTACTTTTATTTAGAGAAATTCTGCTCACTTCCTGCCCACATGCTCTCGGGTGAAGGCTCTGCAGTGGTTAATGTCAATATTCCTATTGCGCACTTTCCTGGATAAGGTTCAGGAGTAGCAGGTGCTGCAGCAACAGCCAGCTGGATCTAGAGACATCACAGATCAACACACATTCGCCAGCACACCAGGAATACCATGCAAAAGCTTTATTGAAGAATGGTCACAGGCATGTGATCACATTCTTCAGTAAAGTTTTTGGACAGTACTTGATCTATGGTGTGCAAGGCTATGCAGTGGGACACAGATGGAAACAGGGCTAGTTAGTAAGGGTTTAAATCTTTTCTAAGTGTTATGTAGAAAATAGAATGACTGTCACCTTTCTCACTGCTCTTCTCTTTACACACAGATGGTGGTTCCTGCACTCATCGCTGGCTCTGCTGCACACATCCCAGGTTTTCCTTGGATATGTTCTGATGTTGTGTGTCATGTCCTACAATTCTGCCATTTTCCTGTCAGTTATCATTGGATCTGGCCTTGGATATTACTTGGCCTTCCCTGTTCTTGCTAAATTCCCAAAGCTGTACAGTCTGTAGCATCCTGCTGCTGAGAGGAGCACAGAAAAGTGGTCCTGTCTTCCAAATACTACTTGCACAGATTGCTATGTGCCTTTACATGATTTCTCAGGTACAATGACTGACCCTTGCAACCCTGAACTAAACCCCCTACCTGTTGGTTGCACTCCTAAGCATCCTGATACAGACCCCTATTAATTAGCCTAACCAACGGGTTTGTCACACAGCAGTAGGGTCCAACTCTAAACCTGCCCCCACTGTAGCAGAAACATGATCTGAGTTTTAGCTGTGTGTACCAAGAGCTGTCCAATATCTAGGTTGTTTTGTACATGCTATCCAATGTGATCTTTGTACCTCTGACATGACCTTATGGGTGTACAGAGATCACCTCAGTAAGGAATTTGTATTTTATGATTTGCAATGAAAATCGGCAGCATGAGAGGCTCAGATGAGGCCCATACCAGACTTTTTTTTTTTTTTTTTGTTTCTTTGATAGTTAATTCTTAAAAGAGAATTCTACTTGCCCAGCATGATTATACATCAAATCTATGCATCACATAACTAAAGTAAACCTGTTACTAGGAAAAGGACATTCAAGTAATGATTTAAAACAAGCCTTCACTGACCTATGTTGCTGCAAGAATTGTGGAGTAGTTCTCAAAGTTCACAGCAAACACAGAAATCCTCCAAATTCTTCTTCAGCGGTGACTTAGCAGCTTTCCAATCTCATGTCCAGAGAAGGAATGCTGGGAGGGGAGAGCAGGGTAAGCTGCCGAGAAAACTGCTTTGAAACTTAGGGATGAACTGATCCACAGTGCCTGCTGCTACAAGGGGCAGTGAGAGCTTGTTTTATGGCTCATTTCCGTTTCAGAATATGCAAATACTTGACTGATAATGGCCTGGTTACAGATGCCCTGTAACAAACAGAAAAATATGGAGTATGCCATTGCCAACCTTCTTTTAGCATTTGCTAACTGGATGTTTGATACTTTGGCAAATACTTGAGTCAGTGAACTGGAAACAAGCACATGGATTAGGAAAGTCAGTAGTTCCAATCTGCATGTTTGTTGTGGGTTGGGTAGGTTGTTGCAGTGAAAATAATCTACACAAGTCACTGTTCAGATGAGCAAAGAGTTGCTCCTATGTTAAAGGAAATACTGCAGAATGTTATTTGCCAGAAAAGGAGCAAATGGGAGGGGGTTTCTCTACATAGCAGTTTTGTCACTAGTTTTTGCCAGGAACACGAATGAGGCAGGGGCATTTAGTCAATGAATGCACTGAAGGAGGGTTGGCATGACAAAGGTCAGCAGTGACCGTATTTCTCATATAATAGGTTTGTTTTAAATGGTACTTTGCCATGAGATATAAAAGGGAGGAAACATCTGAGAATCAAAATACAGGTGCTGCCAACACTGATGTTTATTGTAGCAGACCCAGCTCTCTAAATCTGCTTCTGGTATTACTAGCTAGTCACCGTCCTGAACAAATGTGCAGGACCAGGACATCAGACTTTGCTGACAGAATACTTGTTCAAGGGCAGGTAATGAATAGATATTGAAGCCATGATCAGGATGACAGCCCTAAAGAAAAGTCAGCAATACCACATATTGTATCCTTATTGTAGTACTGAGAGAAATGCAATGCTGTTCTCAAAACTGTAGCAGCCTAGTTGTTCTATTAGCCCTTTGGCTTCAGAAATTTGAGTCATTAACCTGGACAAGTTAGCAGAGCAAAAGTTCTGCCTTCACTGGCTTAAAAGATTTGTGACCATGGGAATGCCATTTTATTACAACAAACTTCACTTTGATTTTAGATTTCTGCTTATCGAGTTGCTAAATGTGTACAGCTCCAAACTGCTATCAAAATGTGGTAAAAGATTTGTAAAAAGCACAGTAGGAATTGTAGATGTATACACACACACTATGCCACAAGATATATTTGAAGGTGGATGACTTTGTTGCACTGCATAGCCTCAGGTAGAAGCTGGATGGTTTTGCTACCAATGTTTTAATCTGGCATTCTTGTGCAGTTTAAAAAAAGCTTAAAACAGTATGAAAAACTCTTCTGTAGTATTTTTTTTTTTTACTTTTTGTATCTTTCAATTGGATTTTATAAAAACCACCAGATGGGGGATTTACTAAAATTGGTGCAGCTGTACATAGTAACCAATCAGCTTCCATGTTTTTTTTTTTTTCTCAACACTTAATTGAACAAGCTAAGTTAGAAGCGGATTGGTTACTATGCACAGCTGCACTAGACTGTGTGCTCCAATTTTAGTTAATGCCCGCCCAAAGTGTGTTGCTTGGGTAATCGAGCACCTTTGAGCTGTTTTTGATTACAGCATATTAAGAAATGTATGCCTTTTTCACATGGGCCATTATGTGCATAGACTGGATTCCAGGGGCAAGAATGACTTCTTGGAGGCTGTGAATACAGGCATGTGTGAACAGCTGCAACCACTCAGTCTATGCAAAGCAATGACAAGCTCAGAGAAGCTGTCGCTGTTCATATGTATTTGCAAACCAGGGGTTACCAATGGATGTCCCAACTTGAATGCAGACAGATGCATCCAGGGTCTGACATTCATTCCTAATTGAATGTATCTGAACTAGTAGATACTCACAAACAGCTATGGCTCCTCTCAGCCTGTCATTGTACATTCTGAGCAGCTGCAGGCATGCACCGGCCATCAAAGCCACTGGAATCTGGTATATTATTTTCTCCTGCAGGAGCCTGACAAGCATTGAGTCTGCAATCAGTGGTGCAATGTCAGGCTTCTGCAGACAAGCACTGCAGCTTTCAGCCCTTATCTGCATAATTGCCATCAGTTTCTAGCTGCAGGGCTTGTGAATGAACTACAAGGGTCATCTCAGCGCCCCTGCAGTTCATTCAGAACTACAAGTCATCAGCCATGGTGGTTGATGGTAGTTGTATATTTATTCACAGGAAACAGTGAATGAATGACATGGCAGCGCTGTTTTTGAATTGTGACAGCGGGTGCAGGAGATCATCCCCTGTCACACATAGGCTACGATCTGCGGGAGAGCCTGCAGGAGCTGGAACATGTTACACGTTCCACCCTAAATATTGGTGGAACGTGTAACATGTTCCAAAATGTGAACTTTGTCTTTAAAAGGAGGCCTAAAGCGGGCATTTGGTTGCCTCTAGCAACACCTACTTTTGGTAAATGAGTATGTATGTGTATTTGTGAAATAAAATGGAAATGTTTCAGATAAAACTGCAGTTTTCTTACAATAAAGTTTATTTATTAATTAGAAGCTTTTTTTTTATTATTTAAAACATTTAAAAGTTTTATTAAAATATATATTTGGGAGGGGAGATGCAGGTTTGTACTGGTAGAGAGAAGGCACTTGTTTGGCTTCAGAAAATGAGGTTACCTCAAGGTTGTGCATGGAGTGAAGATGTCAGGCAAGAACCGCTCCCACATTCTGTCCAGTCACACGCAGAGATTGTTCATCTTACATACACACATAAGGAATGTACATCTAAAAACACATCACATAAAGAGCTGTGTCAGAGGTTTGGTGTGTGCAAGGTTCACCATACAAGTCTAACACTGACAGAATGTAAAACTGCCAGAGATACAGCTGCAGGCTTCTCCTCCACCCATCTGTAGAAGAAAGGTGGTGGAATGTTTAGCGGCACTTCCAGTTGTCTCTTAGAGAAAAAGAACATTTAATTCCCCACCTAGGAAGTTGTGATCCTTTCCGGAAATACCTCTGTCTCCACAGAACCACTATTGGAATAGACACCTTAGGCAGGCCATAGATAATGCAGTTTTCTTTCCTTCCAGCAAAGGTGGAAGGAAAGAAAATCATCCGATTTCCCCATCAACACAGTGAGTGTTGATGGAGGAATCCCTCCCGCAGCGCTGTTGAATTTTTCCGGCAGGCAGTCTTCCTGCACGGCCACACACAATGACTACTACTAGAGGCTATAGAGGCGTTAGAAAAAAAAAAAAAAAAAAAAATCAAACAGGCTGGTTATACCCAAATCGATGGATGGATTGACTTGGCTAAAGCCAGTCTTGCCCATAGATGAATCAAATCTCAGCCAGTCCCTGCTGAACCAGTGGAGATTCGATCCATCCATCCATAGGATGGCTTTACACTAACACTTAGAAGTCTAAGCAACTATTGCCTTTGGCATTCTGAAAGTACTTAAGAGAAATAAGGGATTTAAAAAAAAAAAAAAAAAAATGGCATTTATACTAGATGGATGGTCCCCTGCTGCTTCTAAGACTGAGAACTACACAATCAAAGCCCACTGATTGCTCAGTTCTTAGTCTTCACTTAGCAGAGTAGTGACTGTCAATCACCGGCTCTCTGCTCTGCCCCTCCAAAACTCACTGGAGCACCAGGCTGGGCAGGAGCAGCTGGCAGCATCTCGCTGAGAGGCAGAGCCAGCTGTCTAGGCATCGGGGTGGAGCCTTACATTAAAGTTGGGATGTTTAGCGAGCCTAGACTGACTCTCCAACATCAGACAACAGCTGGTTTTAGCCTGGGGTCAGCTGAAAATGGGTCACAGAAGTGCAGAACCAGCTGTGCGCCTGTGATTCCCCAGGTGAAGTATAGCCAAATGCGCTTTGGCTATACTTCTTTAATGGCCTTGTGTTTATCTAGAATGCTTCAGTTTTGCCTGAATTACTTCTGTCATGTGCTAATTTAAAAAATGATCCGGTTAATTTGGTTGCTATTGAGAACACACAAAGTGTATTACTAAGCAACTGGCGTATGTAGTATGCACCGCATTAAAATGGTGCAAGCTTTATGCCTGCACCTCTCTTTAGTTTAATTCCGCGCCCCCTTGCATATTTACTAAAGAACAGTTTTCGTGATTACTGGATTAGTGTGTTGGAGCCCCAGGGACATCCACGCACAGCCCAGTCATTACAGGAAATTAGGGCTCCCCTTAGTCACATAGTATACCAGAACCTTGCTTTGTAATGAGGAATGTGAAGTCACGCTACTTAGTGATCAAAAGTCCAACATGCAGCTCAATCCTTATTCATATGTTTATAGACTGACTAACTCTCAGATATACAAGCAAGTCTTTTGGAGTGAGTATGTCCTCATTTTAGATTACAGGACCTATTTAAATGGCTAGGCCGTTACAGAATGCGGAGATTTCGGTTAAATTGGTTTTGAAACATCAAGGATTTTACCTTAATGCATTCCCTCTCTTCTTACAGGGTGGATTGATATCAGCAAGAGCCATGGGCTCTTGCTACTGTCAATCGAATCCTATGAGCAGGGGGCAGGCAAAGTCTGAGTACCCCCTAGCAAGCTATTTGAAGGGGGGATGGGGAGCCAGGAGTGCCAGTAGGGGACCCGAGAAGAGGAGGATCAGAGCTGCTCTGTGCAAAACCATTGCACAGAGCAGTTACATATAACATGTTTGTTTAAAAAAAAAAAAAAAAAAAAAAAAAACACCCTGAACCTTTAATATCACTTTAAAGAAACCAGAATTAAAAGTTGAGTTTGTTATGCTTACATAAACAATGTATCCCCCAAAATTGTGAAACCTTGCATGAGAATAAACCCATGACACCATCCACACAAGATACATCACATGCATGCAAGGGAGTCTGTAGGGCCTGCTCAGTGAAGTCCTCCACAGAAGGGCACCTCAATGCGGTTTTCTTTGGGTTAGTGTTTATGTCTCATTGCTGTGTACTGAGTGTTTATAGAAAGCAGTGTGCATATGGGTGTGTCATAGGTAAAGAGAAACAATCTTCAGTGTGATAGTGGCAGTACTGGAAGCGTTGTGACAGGAATAGTAACATTGCACATTAAAGCTTAGGGAATAAAACTCGCACAAGCTCAGCACTAGTGAATTTACACTGGGGGGCATTACACAATGCAGATAAGGGGGTGATGGTGAGGATTGTGGAATATTGAAACACTGTGTATTAATGTCATGGGGAATAGCAAAAACTCCAGCGTTGGCATAGCAAAGGGTGGGGTTGGGTTGTGTTGTGTTGCAGAGCTAAAAAAAAAAAAGCATTTAAATAAGACGTTTTGTGCCAAAAGAGGGAGATTCTGGCGCTGCTTCTGCCCTCCATAAGTTCATAGTAAAAGCTTAGTCCCATTGTGCTGGTTCTCAGAACTGGGTAATGACCTCTTCTTTCTTTTGTGGAGCTGGCACAGGAGTTTCCCTGTACCCTTCACCCTCTTCCTCCTCCTCACTCATGGGTGATTGGAAGCCGCTATCATCTGGGGTGGAATGTACTGCATGTGATGTGGAAGAGTGAAGAACTTCAGAATGGGTGTCCTCTTCTGGAGTGGCAAGTGAAGTAGTAACCACTTGTGGGATCTGGCAAGGCAGTATCTCAGGATGGACAGTTTTTTCCTGTGTCGAGTGTTGTTCCAGCTCTTCAACTGGATGGTGTTCATGGCTCACATATTTTATGACTGACTCGTGGTTGACTGCCTTGTTCTCGTGTATTTCATGAGGTTGCTCCTCAGTCAACTTGTGATCATCCATGCTCAAATGTTCTTGTGTCAGTAAATGATGTGGTGCTTCCTCTTCCTGATGACCATGAACTTCTATATGATCTGAAAGCCTCTGGTAATTATGTACCAATTCTCTTTCTGGAGACACATCTGTGGTGGAAGGTGTTCTTGTCGGCTCTACATGGCTGTTATCCACATTATCTTCAGGATGTCCACCAAATGATGTATTCTCTTCCTGGGCCTGAAGATCATTGGGCCTCATCTGCTCTGTGTGAGACTTAGTGACCTGTGTCACCTGTTCCTTGGGTTGTGCATGTTGGGTGGCCTGCACAGTGTCATCCTGTTGTGGAATCTGTGCTTTGTCTTGAACCTCAACATCAAACTCTTTGACAAGCATGTTCCGGATTGTACTGACATCACTGGACTCTGGCTCTTCAGGGATATTTTCATTAGCTGGGGCCTCCTGGCAGGATTCCAGGTATTCGGGCGCATCATCATCCTGAATAAGGGATACCACTTGGCGTTGTCTACCATGCCTGCCTCCAGAGGATTCAGTATTGTTGGAATAGTTTTCAGTCCAATTAATAGGGGGCTCATCTTCAAGGAGGTGAAGGTTAGGATCACTGTTGTGCAATACCATACTGTCCCGGAACAAGTTATGCTTTCGCTGCGTGGCGGCATCCTTTACAGCTAGAAAGATATGAAGAAAGGATGAATTATTATACAGTTACCATACATACTCAACCTTTGAGGAATTAAGTCTGGAGTTGGAGAAGCTGACTTAACTCTCACTCATTATGTCATCTCTATTTTACAAACATTTCCTATCTGTCCTCCTTTGTAACATGCCTGATACAACTAAACTGCCAGTGTATATTGCAGTGCAACTACTGGAACACTCTGGCATCAGTTTGTTTGTAGACCACTAAGCATTTTAGTCCTTTCTTAAGAGACGTCCTCTGTTAGTATTGACATACCTTTTATTTGCTTCCTTATGGTTTGTTAAATATACCCATCAAAAGTGTGTTATATCTGTTTGATAACTGCAAAAATACCTGTTGACCCTGCCAGAAATCTTGTGAGCTGATAAACTTTCTGTACTGCGTTCTCATCGCTTAATACTTTTCCTAATTCTCTCTGGCGACCGCAAAACACCCCTCCCCCCATTGTGACCTGTATTAGAATATTTGGAGAATTGCTTGAAGTACCTCTGTATGTTCCCCAGTGTCTCACACAGCAAGCACCAGAAAGCTCATCCCTGCTCCAAGAATTATACACAACCGATGAGACGCCGCACACCAGAAACACAGCCTAAATACAAAGTAGTAAGACGCAGCTTCAACCTGGCTATTCCCAGGCCATGCCCCCGCCCCCTTCTGACATGTTTCGCCCTGTGAACAGGGCTTAGTTATAGATATGAGTGCAGTCACCACAGCTAGAGAGACTGGTAAGTTGCAAAATATGACATTTTTGCTGTTGGGTTTAGAAGCACTTTAATTTTGCTTCATTTGTCTCTTTTCTCTGCCTTCCAATCCTGCTGTTCTCTATCAGTACCTCCATGAATCGCCAATTACTTAGAACTTTCAGTTCAGGCTTCTAGTTCTAACTTAAAGGATCTGTACAATTAGGCCTGCCCATACATGTCCCAATAACCAAATGCTGTCAAACATGACCTACACAAAGGCTATGACCTAATCACTTCCACATCCAGGTCTTCTCACTTCCCCACTACTCTGGAATTCCACCCATGTGTTGTTCAGCTCTCTCCAACAGCTGACACCTACAAACACATCCCTAATGGCTTATTTACATGAGCTGCTCTCTACCACACCTCTGAAAAGCCATCCACGATGCATTCATTTTATGAGGGTGGTAGAGCAGTTGCTGCCAGGCATTCGATGTCTGTTTTTTAAGCTGAAGGGAGATTTTATGTTGAAATACCATGAGCCAAGCAGTTGCACAAAGCCCTATTCACTTTAGTGGGTTGTGTTTGGCGGCAGTACTGTCTGCCAACCATGGCCTATGGAATGAATTTTGCAGCAACAGTGGCAGTTTGTAAACATGGCCACTGACCATATTAGCTTGCAGCTTGGCATTCAAACTGTTGCTCAACTGCCTATTTTTACTGCTGTCTGTAAATGAGGCCTCATTCCCACCTCTGCAGACAAGCATGCAGTATGAGCCAAAATTGCTCTTTTCAGTCACTGATCCATCATATTTGTTTCTCTCATCTCTGCACTACTGCCGCACAGCCTATTCACTTTTATTACCTTCTGTTTCTTCCTCATAAATATACATATAGGGCCTCCCTTCTATGGTTTCTTTCTATTGCTACATTTTCTAAACAACTCAACTATGGACAATGAGGGGAATTCATCAAAACTGGAGCAGACAGAATCTGGGGCAACTGTGCATAGTAGCCAATTGGCTTCTATCTTCATCTTGTTTAGATAAGCATTGAGAATGAGCCCTGGTTCACACTGTTGCGGTGCGGCATTAGCAGCGTTTTCAGTGCGAATTCCGCACCACATCACAATCGCACCCCATTCATAAGAACTGATGCGGGTGTGCATGTTAAGTTAACAACACCCCAACATCGGTCTGCAAAACTCGGTGCGATGTGCAGAATCAGATCGCATAGGTGTGAATACTTATGCAATCCGATTTTAATGCAGACCAAAAAAGGGTCCTGCATGATTTTAGAGTGGGTACGGAGCGAATAGAGCCATACAAAATGTATGGCTCTAATCACACCGCATACAAATTGCATGTGACTTGTACAGGAATGCAGTGCGGTTCCTGTACGAATCACATGGGATTTACCGCACCGCTGTAGTGTGAATCCAGGCTGAAAGCTAAAAGCTGATTGTTTGCCATGCACAGCTGCTCCAGATTCTGTCTGCTCCAGCTTCGATTTATTCCCCTCATGTTATTTTTTTAGTGCATCATATTGCTTCTCCTGTCCTCTCAGAGCCACGGCAGAGCATGGCACTATATAACAAAGGAAAAAGAGAAATACACAAAGTTTGTTCACCCAACAGCTGAACCACTTTCTCCGTACCTTGCACGATGTCCCTCATCACAGTCTGCAGCACAACCTCTTCATATGTGTTCTCCACCAGGACAAACCGCGACAGCTCTTCAAATATAAGTTCCTGGTATCGAGGTAACTCCTGTAGGTAACAATGCCAAGAACCCTTGTAAGAACAGAAGACTAAAAACATACAATGTAATCCCAATGATTTCCAATCACATATACTAGTCACCACAGAAACAGCAATTCTTGTTACCAATTACATCCAATCCTCCCCAGAATAATCCAGAAGCTGGCTGCTATGAGTGCCAAGAACTGTCCTACCGCTACAGAACATTTGATGGATGAGATCCATCATGTTATTTCATCATCAGTATCATGAAATTGTAAAAAGTCCATTGTGATACATATGTGACATGGGTGTATAGAATGTATGTGTGAAGGATGATTGACACTCAATTGCCATAATTTTAGTAGGATATATCAGTTGAGGGGTAACTAGAGTTTAGAATAATAAGACAAGGACATTGTTAAGATCTATCAAGGCTAGATCTATGATTCATAGTTACCAGATGTGCAGTTGCAATCAGTCAAGGATTTATAGTTATAAGATATATAGTCTAACAAGTCAAGGTTCATAGTCACAATAGTTACACAAATAGAGTCTACTGCGCATGACAGTAAACAAGGACACTGCAAATTATGTATATAAGAGACGGGGGATTCTAGGGGAATTTGGGACTCATTGAAGACGCGGCAGACGTGCCTTGCGGTGATTTCCCGGATTTCCCCTTTGCTGATTGCTGAGAGTCCCCCAATCGTTGGGCAACGGGTGATGCTACAATATCCGGTGATGTATTGATGCTTTATTCTTGCTATAATATGATCTAAATACGATTTGCAATTCTGACAATTCTTATGTTATTATACTAACAGAACTTATTCAATAAATCATGTTTTGCTTTAATATTTATTAAGCCTAATCCATGTATTAGTGAGCGATTGTAGTAGTGTTAAAAACACTTTGTTTTGAGGCAAAACATCCATCTGGGCAAAAAAACAAAACATGTAGTACTTCTCTGCAAAACATTTCCCCATGGTATCTCTTATAAGCTCTGTAAGTACCGAACTATATGTGTTGATTCTGCCAGAAATCAGTGAGCTGACAATGCTGCACTAAAATCCCAAAGTAGTGTTGTCATGCCTGCCAGAGTTCTTCCCTGTTGGACTACAGAGAGGAGAAAGATGTGTTTTGTACTCCAGCAGAAGGGAAGTGGGCCTGAAGCAAGGGAGCTCATTGGATTTCTAGTAAATAAAAAGACATTTTTCTGTGCTGCCAGTATTTTTAGAGATAAAACATGAGAAAATACATGTATTCAAGAAATGTACTGCATGTGTTTTTTTTTTTTCTCATTTTTGAAAAGATACGTTACGTGCTTCTTCCCTTAATTGTACACTTACCGATTTGCATGTAGGTGCCAGCTTCTTCAGGAGGAAAGGAATTAAGATCTGCAGTAATGCTTCCTGAAAAAACTTCTTGCGGATGCTGCTGCTGTCATAGTCATATTTCTGCAAGAGAAGCCAGATATCGGAGGTTCATTGGCTAGCACACACAGTTTACTAAATCAAGCATTAAACCTTAGTGGTAATATGTTATGGATTATGACCTTACCCTTTTATTGCTGCTGGCGTAACACATTTTCCAGGGCAGTAATGAGATGTAAAGAAGCTCATGGCTGTAAAAGTGCCATTCACACCCCCTTTCCCCCCTTCCTTGTGTCCTAGGTCCAATAGTGTCCTGTGAGGCCCATAAACTTTGTCAGAATGGCAAGTGGCGGAAGATCAGATAGCTTTTGGTTTCCCATCGAATATGCAGTAAGTGAACCAAGAAGACCTCAGTTATGAGCACTTCTGTGTTCAGAGATGTCAGATTCCAAAATGTGAGTAAAATGTGAGTAAAATGAGCTGCTTATGGGTTGCGTTTGCATTCACATTTACTTGTATGAGAAGAAAAGCAGCTCAGGTCAAAATTAGTCCATGCACATAACCCTTAGATTGGTCATGCAGAGCTCATTATCTGCAATAGGAATAGGTTTAGCATCACTTGTACACCAAAGGAATTCATACATTATATGCAAGTTAGGAATTCGGTCATGGATCATGGGTCGCTTTTTCCCCATTCTGTGCTCTGAGTTTTGGTCTAACAGGGAAGAAAAGGCAGTTGTGCTTAGTCTCAGGAATATCAGGCCCATTTCACACAGGGCAGACTCCACTTGCGGTCCACATGCTCTGTGGGATAGCTGTCCACTGATCCCCCACTGAGCAGGCATGGGACAAAGCTGTGTCTGCTCCACTTATGCAGCGCAGACACAACCAGCTTTATCGGCAGTTGATGTAAATGGACTGGCTGTCCCTTTACACCCGACTGCCCTCCAATTCGCCGAGACAGAGAGGAGCAGATCCCCTTCCAAATGTTTTTGATGGATCGGATTGGAGGTAGGCAGGTGTAAACAAACAAGTCTGTTTACAGCCACCGTTCCATAGAACAGAATGGAGGGTCCTATTGGGTGCACCTGAAAAACGGACAGGCGGACCTGATTGGAACATTTGTGTGAAAGGGGCTTTAGACATATCGTAAAGCGACTCTCGCAGTTAATAGTTACCGAACCAATTTTTTGTTTTCTTGAAGAGCTAAGGCCAGACAAACAATGTTCTACACCCTTCTAAATATGTGGGAGGCCCAGTCCCCTGCTGCACTCTGGGGCTCCTGCACCAGTCTCTCAAGTCACACAGTAGACAGAAGCACAGCACACATCGGGAAGATCAGGACAGGTAAGTATTGCCTGCTTTCTTGCCAAGGAGCACTTAAATCTTTTACTCTTAATAACAGAGCCGAATTAATGACTCATTGTACTCCCAACACCCTTCCTACATGCGGCCTAAGCTTCAGATATGGTCTCACCTTGAGAACACGCTCTAAAATACGCTGGATGTCTCTGCACAGGTTCTCTCCTCCTTCTGACTTGTTCAGTTCCTGGTGAATCAGCTGTTCAAATGTGTACACCGCGTTGTCTGTCAGCTGCAAAGGGACATAATATTTGCTCCTTAGTTGAGAACACAAAGCACCCTACCTATTTAACATCACATCCAAAGGGCAAACAATCAACATAGGGACAACTCAAAAGTCATGTTCAGTAGCCCCAAATATTTAATATACACTGGGAGAGGGGGGGGGGTTATGAAAACTGGAGCAGTTGTGCAAGGCAACCAATCAGCTCCTTTCATTTTCAAAAATTATCAGTTATATTGGTCCCAGCCAACTCTGAACAACAGAATCCATTCCAGTGTTATGGAGAGGCGGGGGGGGGGGGGATTTTGTAGCTTTGTCTTAGGGTGACAACACTGCTCTTCCATAAATAAAGCATGGTGAGTCCGCGTTGTCACTTTAGGACAGGAATTGTGTTGCTAGCAGAGATGCTGGGTGAAAGTACAGGGAAAAAAAGAAAACTAATGAAGCCACTAAAAACAAAAATTGTACATAAGAGGAATATTACACAAATGTACAGTCTCTGTCTAAATTGGCCCTAGTATGTGTTTGTATGTGAGATAAGGACCTTAGATTGTAAGTTCTGTGAGGGTATGGACCAATGTGAATCTACAGTAAGTAAAGTGCTGCATAGAATTGTTGGCTGTATATAATTGCCTGTAATATAAAATAAATATCCTCTATTGAACCTTAATCAATATCAGACCTGTCCTCCACTGAAGGGATTGCATTTTCTTCCGCAACTAGGGCTGAAATCTGTTCACACCCCACACATAACAGGGCTTAAGTACAAAACATCCACTAGGAGGTGCTATGGTCCCATTATACAACTGAACCAACAAGCACATCGAAGAGTTGTGGCTGGCTCGGTTCCCATTACGTAGTTGAACAGTTAATAGAAACCTTTCCATTGCTCACCTCCCTCATGAGGATCTGTGCTCTCTGTTTGAATACAGATGGACTTCCCACATCAAATCTCTGCTGTAGTCCTTCCAGATTCAGATGATCCATCTTCTCATAGCACTGCTGCATTTTTACTGGGTGATAGGCCAGCTGTGAGATCTTCTCCATATGCTGGGGGATAAAGAATTGTATTTTCAGAATGTTATACTGGATCACACGTTAGGCCATATGTATTAAAAAAAAAAAAAAAAATATGTAAAGAGAATCTCCCTGGAATTTGTAGGGTCAGACATTCTTTAGAATGATGTTGTGCCTCCGTTCGACAAATGCCAGTGCCTTTGACAAATTCCCATACCTATCAGAAACAGGTACATGAATTTATCATGGAAGCACAGCGGCACTGAAGCCGAAGTGTCCATAATGGACACTCAATCCTCAACCTTTGAGCTGCACAGCTGTCATTATTTGCCAAAACACAACCAGCAATGCAGCTGACATAGCAACCCACTGGTTGCTATGATGCTGTCGGCTGCACAGCTGGTCGTATCTTGGCTCAATTCAGCTGCCAGCTAGGATATTCCTGTCATTGACTCAATATGGGCAATGCCATATTTGGATAATGACATCAGCAAGCATCCCCGGTCCTGTGTTTACATTCCGCTGTCTTCAGCGTAATTTTCCTGCTGTCAGTTGAATTAGATCAGGGGTGCATCATTGGTTGCTAGGATGCGGTCATCCTAACAACTCAGGAGCCCTGACAGGAAACTATCACATGACCGCTTCCCAGCACACACATGGCCCACTCTGAGTTGGTGTACAGAGAGATAACAGTAGTAGTAGTAGAGTTGATCTCAAAGTGGTTGTAAACCTCAGACATGAAATATGAACAAAGCATATCCTTCCATAGTGTGTTCTAAGAGCACTAAATGCCATTTCTGCCTCCTTCCTCTACTATCTGCATGAATCGGTTCTGACAAGTTTTCCTGACACCAAGAGAAATAATGGTGACCGAGGAGGGACCTGGAGCAGATTGACAGCTTCAGCTCTGTTCCTGTGTGAAGGGGGTGTGTCTCTTCCCTCCAATCGGCTCTCAGAACTCTCCTCACTGAGTTCTGCAGTGTGTAATTTCAGCTCTCCGCCCCCCATTTTTTTTTTTCACTCTCAGACAACTTTAAAAATTCAGCACTCTGAACGATGTAGGGAATAGAAAATGGCAAATAAACAGGTACAACTTATGTAGGAGGATTTGTTTCATCTCCATGTTTTACCTGAGGCAAATCACTTCCCGGAGTATAGGTAAGGGTTTACAACCACTTTAATTATGGTCAGGTTCCTAATCTGCTCATGTAATAAATGAGTTTCAAGAATTCTTTTCACACTGACCTCTCCCAGCTTGTCCCGTCCTCCTTCATTCACAAGGTTCTTGTTCATGTCTGTGGCCTCTGTGAAGATCAGCTCCCGAACCTCAGAGAAGCCTTGGCTGGTTGGAACCATCAGTGCTTCCAGAATAGATGGGATGTGAGTCTGGACATGGTTCCTTACACACAACTCTGCCTTTGGCAACACAGCGACTGATGAAAGAATATGACAATGTGATTAGCCAAAAAAAAAAAGCATATTCCATCAGTATAGTACCAATCTCAACCAATCAGAATGACCATTTTATTGATCACAGTGTACCTTAAATTGCTGATCACTAAAGGTTAATACTCTCTGCACAGCCTTACTGAATGAGCTTGCAAAGGGGACATTACTGTGTACTTCTTACGAAGGCTGGTCATACATTATACAATTCTCTTGTACAATTTCCCCTTAGATATACCAGAACCATATAATATGAGGTCAGAGCTAAACACTTTCAATCTGAATGCAATCAGTCAAGTCCTTTTACTACATAATTGAAGGTAATGCTAAAAAGAAATAGAATAAGAAACTTGTTTAATGTATGGACAGCATAAGTATGCGCTGCTGCCCCTGTAAAATACCTCTTAAGACGAACGCCTTGTTTGCCTCGCGGTAGATATGCCCCTGGCTTGATGGCAGGGGGAGGAGGCAGGAGTGCCAGAGGGGGACCCCAAAAGAGGAGGATCGGAGCTGCACTGTGCAAAACCATCACACAGAGCAGATATGACATGTTTGGGTTTTTTTTTAATACAAGTTGTAGGTTTATGATCACTTTAATCCTTTATGTCTAATGCAGTCTTCCCAAGGCTACAAAATCTCTCTCCAGCTAAAAACGAACATACAAGTCTTGTTTTTTTGCCAAAAAAAAGCACAGTTTAAAGAGGTTTGTACTGAGCAATAACAATTATTTAATAATATACAATTAAAATAATAACATATGTTGAATTTTTTTCAACTGAATACTAAACCACTAAATGTTCAGCACTTGCTGGCTGGGGTGGTGAAAGGGTCACCAAATCCCTAAGTTTTTATACTCCGTATCAGTTGATAAAAAATGCTGGTGAACTACTGCATACAATTAATTCCCTGCACTGCTGCTCTTCTGTGACAACTTCTATCCACAGTATTTGTCCCCAATAGTATATTGACTGTGCTGATAGTTCACCCGTTACAGGTCTTTGATTTAGGCATACTGTATGTTTAATCATTTACAATACTGTCAACTGCCACTGCCAGGAGGGCCCATCAAAATGTTGCTATGGTGGCCCCACAAATTGTAGTTATGCTCTTGTCTTAATCTCCCACACACTCTCATAGGACCTGCCCTTGGAGGGCTCAACAGAAGGTCATCAAGGAGAAAGCTATGTGAGGCGAGACCTGGTTTGCCATTACCTCGAATTTTGTTGGACACGTGCTCCTTGCAAGCAATGATCTGGTCCATGTCTGTTCGGATCTGACTCTCCATCTCCGTTCTCTTGTCACTGCAGCGCTTTTCAAGGCCCTCAAAGAAGATGCGGGTCTGCTCATGCACCATCCGGTACACAGTGTCTGAAATCTGGAGAAAAGAGGCAGAAAAACTTAGGGAGGTTGAATAATTGAATGGACGAGCTGATGAAAAATTGAATGCCAGTCACAAAAATATACAAAGAGACATTTACAGTTTATTTGCAGAAAATGTTATTATTGGAGGATCAAACAAGAGGCTTCCTCATAATTTAAACTCCTTCAAAAAGAAAAAAAAATAATGTACATTCTCAATATAGTAGAAGGATTTATAGTACATTGTAGGCCTCCATAGAGCTGCAGTTGTCTTGATGAAAAGTCCCAATCCCCTGGCTTTTCTTTTGAGATACCCAATTTCCAATTCAATGGAATTTGGTGCATGACTGTATCAAAGTAAATGAAGGTGTATGTAAAGTCAATAAGTTTCGTATAAACTAGAGGGCAGTAATGACCTCTGTTAGGTGTTTATTGTTTTCTGTGTCCCTGTTGGGAAGATTTAAACCCGCCGTAGATGGAGTGAAATTCAGCCAGTTCAGTAGGAATTGGACACATTTCAATCCCTCTATAGGCAGGCTGATTGTGCTGAAATGTATCTCTTGATTGACTTCAGTACAACCAGCCTGTGGATTTTTGTGGTGTGGTCAGTGCTGGCGGCTATAGCTGCTAGCAGTGATCATTGTATTCGCTGGTGGGGAAGGCTCCCCACCTGCAGAATACAATAGCAGCTCCAAGCAATTGTCTTTCCTTTAACCTGCTGAGAAAAAGAAAATTGTATAATGTATGGCCAGCCATACATAGATCAAAATTCAGCAGGGATTGATCGAAATTCGATGCATGTATGGGCACCCTGGTTGTACATAAGTTGATCAATCGATCAACTTGTGTACAACCAAACTGTTAGGTTTTTCCTGAATGATTAATGCCGGCAGCTATAGCCAGCAACACAAATCATTGTTTTCTGCCAGCAGGGAAGGCTCCCTGTGGGCAGAACACAATAGAGCTGTGAGAGGGATTCTCCCATTGACACTGACTGTGTTGATGTGGGAAGCGAGCAGCTTTATTTCCTCCGACCCAAGGTGGAAGGAAAGAAAATTGCATAATCTATGGCTTACTTTTTTTGTCCTGGTGACTGCTGTCACTGGGACAGAAAGTGATGACAAAATATTGAGCTGTTAACAGAACAGGAATCGAGGCAAAATCTTTCAATGAGTTTTTTTTCAATCTGGAGAGATTTCCTCTCACTTCCTGCTGTCTAAACCTCCCGAACGACACAAACACTGACAGATTTTTAACCCTTCCTTACTCTACACTTTCATAATATAAATAATGTCCCAACATATATCATCCAAATTATACACAGTGTGTGCAGCCACGTACACCAGAAAACAAGCTCGATCACGAGACTGAGAAAGCCACACAATAAAAAGTACAGTACTTTCCTCAGTATCACTGATTATTGTATACCATTAATGTTAAAGTTCTGGCTTTGTTGACCATTTCTATTGAGCTGACCTTTAGCATTTTCTTCTACATACCAATTTGATTCAGATTAGGGCTGCATCCTCAGAGCACAGACAGCCTAAAGCTGCTTTTTGCTGTTATCTCACCCTGCCCTGTGCAGAGATATGATAAGAGCTGCTTTGTGTAGAACACACAGATATAACAGAAAAGGGAGCAGTCACAGGAAGTCAAATAAAAGCCTCAAGTGTCCGCTAACCGGTTCTAATACAGGATGGAGAAACTGTTGTAGAATAAAGCTGACCATGGACTGCTCAAATTTCGGCCAATTAAGTAAAAAAGGGACAAGTTACAGTGCAAGTAGTACACGACTAAATGACAACAGAGGCATTCATAAACAGGTCAACCAGTCTACTACAAGATAGGGACACAATCAGCGCAGTTGTATCACAACAGGGTAAGTCCAAAAAAGATAAAACAAGAAGGCTTGTGGCATATAGAATTTAGGGCAACTGGAGGAAGATGTGCCTCAAAATCTAGCCACCCTGTGTGGAGCAGAGGTATCAAACTCAATTTCACTGCAGGCCGCATCTGCATTATGGTTTCCCTCAAAGGGCAGGTTGTATTTGTAAGAATAGATGTCCAGAGCACCCCCCCCCCCCCCCTCCTTACATCAGATGTCAACAGCCCTCCTCCACCATCAGAAGTCAAAAGCCCCCTTACCTTTTGCTGCTGCTGGGAAGAAGCTGGGGGCAGAGCTGGGAAGCAGAAAGTGCATGGTCTGGAGGAAAACCAGAGGAGGACTGGAGTCAGCTGCAGGAGTCTACTGAATGTTGAGATGGGGCAACGAGGGGGTGCAGAGACTAACCTCTCCGTGGCAGCACAGGGTCTGTAGGAGGAATTATGTCCTCTCTGCTGCCATCTGCTTAGACAAGGTGGAGGCAGAGAAGAGAGGTGCAACTGCAGGAGAGCTGCAAGGAATGCATGAAATGGCCAGGCCAAATTTAGCCCAGGGCCTTGTGTTTGCAACATGGTGTAGAGTGAGGTACACTCGATGAATAATGTAGATTTGAGTTTGAAGCTCCCTTGCACACCAGCAGTCCTCCTCTCCAAAAGGTCCTCCAACTAGCAAAACCAATTCACATAGGATTTCTGTATATGGGACGTATCCCTTGTACCCACCAACCACCTATTTAGATCTCCTATTATACCTTTCCTATAACGTTAATACTATGTTAACAATTTCTAGAAACTGGAATGTGATCAATAAACTGCCTGGATTGCATGACAAAATAGTAATCTTTAGACAGATCACATTGAGAACATAAGTGGGGATATGACTTCAGGCCACCCTTGGACACAATATGGCCCAGGTATCAGACACCCTTAGCCTGCCAGTTCAGAGGAGCAAGTATCTTCCTCAATTTGGGCAAGACTATATTCTTGCAAAGAGGAGTGTGGTTATCAAGTTGATCGGATTGGTGGCCCTTGGTCCAGTCCCAGCCTGCTTAAATATAAAAAAAAGTCACAAACTGGGCTCTGCCATTTTTTCCCATCAAGTAGCTCCTATAGAAATGGTTTTGAAACCTGGAAAGAACAAAAACCCAGCAGCTGCGCCTTATGTACACCAAACTTTCAGAACCAATGGGCAACCTGTGAGAGCAGAGCTGCAATTTATTACAGTACAGCATTTAACTTCTTGAAATGGAGAGGAAAGGTTGACTGGGGATTGCAGAAGGGTATAAATTACTTTGGGAAGGAACATAATTTTAAATGGTTTATATGTCCTGCGACCAATAAAGAGATTTCAGTTCAAGCAATCAATTCGTAGTCCCTCAGGAGCGTGTAGATCAATGTTGGAGGTGACAAAACCTTTAGGGACCCTATTAATAACAATTCCAAGGTATACTGACTACAGGGAGGGTTAGATTTTCCAGGCTGTACAGGATGGGTCAAAAAAAAAAAAAAAAAAAAAAAAAAACACAGACATTCAAGTTAACGTGGATGGCAGGCTGAACAAGAAGTATTCAGCTGTATATGGCCTGCTTTTACATCGCTCACACAACTTTTAACAATCAGATTCTCATTTTTTTTTCTCCAACTGTCATTTCCAATTGCATGCCACATGCAGCAATCTGACTATGTAATCTACTTTAGAATGACCAACAACTCTTTATCTATTACAAGTATTTATATAGAGCTGACATTTTATGCAGTGCTTTACATACTGCACATTCACATTCGTTCATGCCCTCAAGGAATTATGTCACCTGCACACACTACAGACTATTTAGACAGCAATTAACCTACCAGTATGTCTTACCTAGTGACAACCCACACAAGTACAGGGAGAACATTTAAAGTCTGTGTGCATAGTGTCCGTGTTGGGATTGAAAACCCCAGTGCTGCAAAACATAAGTCATTGTGCTGCCTATTAAGGATAAGGACTTATCCGACCATATGTAAACTAAATGAACTGATTAGGCAGGCCCCTCCACTACAAAGATTTTACAACTAAATTGTAACATGTGTACACAAGTGTTCCATTGCACGTCATGATGTCGATGCAGCATGCTCTATTCTGCTGTGTTTTATCTTCTTGTATTTCTCTCAATGGGAACACAATGTGATGTATGTAAAACATATTTCAAAAGCAATTTTTTTAACCTTGAAGAATAAGTACACTTTAAACAAACTTCATGTAAACTTTTTGCCTTCTTCCCGACCTAATCTAACCCACTATCCCCATCCAGAGATGTATACCGCCTTGATTTGATGACCACAGCTCTGATGTTTGTTTACATGCAGCGCCGCACATGGACTTAGCCACGCCTGTGCATTACAGCACCTTATAGTAGATCTAAAGGCTCGAGATTTTTCACCTTCATGCAGTGTATGCATGAAGGTAAAAAAACCTTCTGTGTGCAGCAGTGCCCCCAGTCCCCTCAATACTTACCTGAGCCTCATCGCGATCCAGTGATGTAAATGACAGCCTCGGCTGTTCCAAGTCTCTGCCTCCTCATTTGCTGAGACAGCAAGCTGGAGCCATTGGCTCCCGCTGCTGGTAATCATAGCCAGCCAGTCAGCCAATGAGGAGAGGGAAGGGGGGGGCAAGCCACCGCTCCGTGTGTGAATGTACACACGGAGCAGTGGGTGCCCCCATAGCAAGCTGCTTGCTGTGGGGGCACCCGACAGGAGGAGCTAGGAAAGCCTGCGGGGGACCCTGAAAGAGCAGGATCCAGGCTGCTCTGTGCAAAACCACTGCATACAGCAGGTAAGTATAGACATGTTTGTTATTTTATGAAAAACAAATTAACCTTTTAGAATCGTTTTAAGCTGGCCATAGATGGATAGAATCTTGGCCAGTCCAGCAGGGACCAGCCAAGATTCAATTCATCTATGGACAAGCTGATTGTATCCATCAATTGACTTGGGCACAACCAGCGTCATATTTTTAGTATCTGATTATTGCCAGCAGCCCTCTGCCAGGGCAACGCAATAGCTCCACAGGAGCTATAGAAAGGGACCCATGGTTCCAAGAAAGAAGGTCGCATCATCTATTGCCTACCTTGGACTTCTATAAGACTGTGCCTCAAGTCTTAAGATGCTCAGAAAGAGTTCATAATTAACTAATCTGGTAGAAAAAGGACCTGGTGAAGGGAGGTATAGCTGCAGCAGAAGGAAATTCATCCCACCTATGCTTTTCCAAAACTCAAGATTCAGTTTTGGAAGCACACAGAGCACTGGGAAAGCATTCTATGAACAGTATGCAACCAGTGTGCTTTGTTGACTGCAATTCTGACATCAGTTCAGCTATCCATAGACAGCAGATGTCTTCCTGAGAAAGACGAGTGAGGAGACATCTGCCTGTCATTTCTAGTGCTGGAACTCAACGCCATTTCTAGTGCGCCTCGCCTTACAGACTGATCCAAACTGCTAGGCCATGATCAAGCTTTTGGAACATACCCAGAGAGGGTATGGGATCTTTTAGATTTGCATGTGTAGTTAGATGAAAGAAAACTTCAAACAAGCTCAATAGTTCTGGCGAGGTGGTTCCTACACAGCATTGCTTGATTGCTGCTCAGCAACTGATGTCAAATTGTTACTCTCCATGTGGAGAGCTCAATACTGGTCCTAATATAGATCTGTGAAATCATAAGTCCAATTCAAATTGAGCCCTGATGAAAGTAGTGTTGCCCCCGAATCACACTTAATGATTTTCTATTAACAAATAAAATTATTTTGAACTGGATTTTTCCGATTTTGATTTGGCGCTCTTTTTTTTTTTTTTTATTTCTATGATATGATCAAGCTTTTGTCAGTGTAAACGTGTGGGGTTGAAGGAGGGAAGATGTTTCATCGTTCATAGGTTGTAATCCCATCGCATTGTACTACCCAAACACTGGTCTTGAATAGGGACCCCTTGGCTGCCACTTCTGCACTGTAAACTGGACTCTCAACCCCACCACATAAAGGTAACAGACTTCTAAGAGGCCCATACGATATACAATGGATGTCCTGGATGTAATGATTACAGTCATTAAGTGTTCTCATCTACATATGCAAATTTTATCATTAATGTCTAGTAGAGGCAGTTTTTGATAGAACAAAGAACATATAGTACTTTCTCCCATCTTCCTAGCTGCCCTGTAACACTAGCTGCAATGCTGCACAAAGCACCCCACCCTTGGCACGTTGCCACCACAAAATTGCAACTAGCAAAGACTGCCACTTTTCTTTTTAGCGCCTGTCTCTGGCTCCCAGGGACCAGAAGAGAAGAGTAAGAGAAGAGAAATGCAAAGGGAGGCAAGACTCACCTCTCTCTGTATTCCTTTTGCTAGTGTGCACAGGTGGGAGTGGGGGGGGAGTTCAGTGGGTGCCCTGCCCAACATTGAAGCTAGTGCTACAGGACGCCTAGGATGGTGGGAGAAATTACTAGATTTACTCTGTCCCATCAGGAATTGTTCTTTAATGCAGCATATTCTATAATAAACTCTATGTAATTTAACGGTCTGCATTCAGTCCATTGTCTGCTATCATAAGCTGCAAGGGATTGCGATAATTCGCCTGCTGTTTCCTTCCATTGACTTTCACACAGGAAGTCTGACCCACGCTGAGACACAGAACAAAGGGGGTGCCAAATATCCACATGTATAACAAGTTCCTAAAAAGTTTATGTAAATATCTAATATCTCAAATAGCGATTACTCCAGCTCCATGGAAATAAATGACCTTTTCAACCTCTAGGTTTGACTGAATTATATTTATACATTGTGGTCCCCAAGTGAACCCCTCATCCAGACTCACCAGCAGCAAGTGTAATGTCACAAAAACATAAGAGCACCACACCACTGCTAAGGCCCTGATCAAACTTGCTAATAGGGGCGTTTGCAGTTACCTGTGGGAGACTTAGTAGGGGGTCCATGTGAATATGTGCTGGTAAGACCAGCTCCACTGAAAGCAACAGGAGCTTGACAGCTCCCACAGCTATTTGTGGCTGTTAACATATAATTGCCCTTGCAAAAAGCCACGAATAGCTGCAAGTGTTTGTCAGGCAGCTCCCTCAGCTATTTGTGGCTGTTCACATGTAACTGGCCATGCAGAAATTACCTGTTAGCAGCCGCAAATATCTACAAGTGTTTTTCAGGTTTCCATTGCCTTCAATAGGGCTTCCTGCCCGCACCAATTCACATGACTACTGCGGAGTCTCCCGTGGGTAATCGCAAGTGTGAATGAGGCCTAAAAGGTCCAGATACAACTTTATTCCAATAAAGGTCAGGGGGACAAAGAGTATCTAATGGGTTTCAGGAGTCCAAAACGACTCTACATTAGGGCGTTAGACTGAAAACATAATGAATGGACCAGACGTTAACTGGACCTTTAACAATATTTCTTCCAGTGTGATTACAAGCACAGGTCTTGTCAGCAGCTGGTTTGGCGCACTGGCAGAAATACTATTAAAAAGGTCCTGTTCACTTCTAGTCCATTTTTATTGGTTTCAATCTCAGGCCCCGATAAAGGGTGCAGTTTTGGACCCCTGACTGTGTTAGTTCCTCTTTCAAAATGTCTGCTGACCTTTATTGAAATAAAGTTGTGTCTGGACCTTTTAGCAGTGGTGTGGCGCTTCAACTACATTTTTGTTACATTACACTACAGGCTAGGAGACCACGGAGAGCCTCTTTGGTATAAAAGCCACTTTCCCATGAAACAGATCACCTACATCAACACCATAAGCTACGACAGCAATACCAATAAGGTAAACCTATGATTGCAGCGCTATGTTTCCACTTTCCTCAACTTACCAACAGCCAGGTCCTCTGCCGCTCCTGAGGTTTTCCTCGGAGTCTGGGGCCAATAATGTTCTTCAGATCGGGGAGGATTTCATCTATTACCAAGTTGCTGAGGACCTGTTCAACATATGATACAACAGTTTAGTACATGTCCAGCCTTAACACAGTTCATCTTCAAGTGAAAGATTTTTTTTTTTTTTTTTTGACAGAGCAGGGAAGTGTAAGAACCTTTGTAAGGTTATTTTGCTGTCTATGTACCCATTGGAAAGGTTTCCCCTCACCCAAGAGAAATGAAAGTGGGGGCGTCTTTCTCCAAGGGTGACAGAATGAGCTATATATTTTTTTTTGTTTAAATAGAATGGAAAGACTAAAACCTTTGTCAGATTATTGCTAGGAAAGTGGGGGCTTAAAGTGCTGGATCCCTTGCTATCAGTAGGTGTCCCATTTGGGTTAAACGTCTAATATGGAAGATATTACTTGCCAGCTCTCTGACAAACAGGGGCCATGGTTAATCCCCTGTGTATAAAATGACTAAAATGAGTAAAGGGTCCATTCACACGGAGTTTCCAATCAGGCTTGCCAATCGTTCCTTTTACGTGGACCTGATTGGAAGGTCAAGGAAAGTCTATGGGCAGTTGGATGTAAACATATGTTTGTCTGTTTACACCTGCCTACTTCTGAGTCTGTCCAAGTCTGGAAAAAAATATTAAAAAGGACTGCGTTCTTTATTGTTTTTCCATACTTAAACAGGACGAATCGAAGGCAGTGTGATGTAAATGTGTAAACAGGTGCAGTTAGCTAGTCTGCCACTTGGTGGCTCTGTCCCAGAATAGTGTCTGGTTACAGAGAATTGTGTCATCGGGTGCTAGGTCCCTTTTTAGCTAGAGCCCTCCTGTAATGATGTAATGGAGGAGTCAATGCCCACATATTAGCCAGGTTGGGAACAGCCCTAGTGCAATTCAGGCATGGGAGCCAGAGACCCCAACATCAGGCAGATGTAGTCAGCAAGTGGAGGTCCTAGAGAGAGCTGGAGGAAAAGGAGAGGTAGACCTGCACCGAGAAGAGCCAGCTGTAGTCTCTTATGGTGGTGAAAGCTAGAGTTGGTTGCAAGAGGCCTTTTAGCCCAGACCAAGTTCCCTGGAGTGAGACTATGCCCCCCAGAGGACCTGGGAGAAAAATAACCAAGGCAGAGTTGACCGCAGTGATCCTGTCTCAGGAAACTACCTGTAAGGAGCAGTGAGCTGAACACAGACTGCCTAAGGCAAACCAGGATCCTCTGACTACTAATGACCCTTGGGAGGAGAGTGAGTGGTTCAGGGAAAATGACTTATTAGGAATGTACTGTGTGCTGCTTTCACGTATGACTGCTGCAGATCATCCACTATAAATGAATGACAATATATTGACAAGTGACCCTTGATAGTAGGTCTCTGTGATGTGACTTTAAATGCCATCTTAAAATAACATCAGTAAAGTTCAGCAATTCTTTTTGTGGCCAGGAATGTTGTGAGAAGACCTCTGGCATGAAAATGGACACAAGATGGAGGACGGTTAAAGCCTCAAGCAGGAGGGTTAGTTCTTAGGAAGAAAGAAGTAGGGCAGGGACATGAGCTCTTGGCACTAATACCCAGCCATTCGCAAGGCCCCCTACAAATCGACACTAGTCTGTTTCTATCTGGTCAGCCATAGATCCAACATGGTTCCCCAAAAAGGTCCACTGTCGAAATGCGTACAAAAACAGAAGGGGCGCCTTTGTTCTGTAAACTAATTCCATCATCCTCTATGTAATCTTATCTTCATAACAGTGCAGCCCACAGAAGTGACAATGACACTTCATTTATGGCAAGATCAACATGTATTTTCTGTACTTTCGAAAATGTTCTTGGCCTCAAAACTTACAACAAATGCAGCCACCACATCTAAGGACTGACCAGCTGCAATATTATAGCGTTTGCTTCTTCCCCTTCCCTTCCCCCAAGCTAAACTATCCCTCCTCACCCATATGCATGCCTTCCTTTGATCCCGCAGTTGCCACTCTCTGTTTGTTTACACTGGGTAGAGAAAGTTTTATAGGAACACTACCTGCACTTGATTGCCGCACAGCATGTCCCATGTTCCATATTGGTCCCGTGCTTGCCTGAAAAATCTCACCGAGTCTGTGAATGCGGCAGATTCCACACGAGAATCTTCTGGGATACCTAGCAGGGAAAAAAATGATTGAATTACACTTTAATTTTTCTGGGGATCCCACAGTATATCTGCCAACATATGTTCTTTAACCTACCTCCATATTGTGGGTAACAACCCTCAGTGACCAGTCTTCAGCATATTAGCATGAGCTCATTGGTAACCAGTCTCAAGGTTACATGCCTTAATCAGTGACCACTCTCCACAGTATTGACATTAACCTCCAGTGGCCAATCTTCAGACTATGTGCATTAACCCTCTAATTGGGGTCTCCGTAGTATGCCAACCCGTCAAAAGCTAGCCTCCAGAGTAAGTATGCTAAATATACATTTTTAGCAAATATGTACCTGTTGGTACAAAACATTCTGGGATGTAGAGGAAGAGAAGAGTAATCAGTGGTGGACATTCTGCAAAAACCTTATCCTTTCTAGGTGTATGAGGCGGAAACTATGTGAATAAATATTTTAAAAGAAAAAAAAACAAATCAATAAAAAGAACATAGTGGTGTTAAATAACTGAGGAATATTTGGGTGATGGAGTATTGGCTGAACGTATCCTAAGGCTCAGCTCACATCGATGCGGTGCAGGTTTCACAGCGATTCCTGTGCATTTCCCACACAATTGCACTCCATTCGTGTGAACTTCTGCAGGTGTCAATGTTAAGTTAATGACACCCAAAAAACGGTTCACAAAACAAAGTGAGATTGGCTGAATCGGATCATATGAATGTGAAAACCCATGCGATCCGATTCCAGTGTGGAAAAAAAAAGGATCCTGCCCCTTTCCTGCAGGTCCATTGTGCGATCTGAGCCATACAAAATGAATGGCTCAAATCGCACTGCAAAAGAATCGCATGTGATTCGAATAGGAATGTGGTGGTGTGATTCATGTCCAAATGATGTGGTTTTCTGCACCGCATCAGTGTGAACCGGCCCTTAGTATTTATATATTATGTTTATGAATGCTGTGTAATTAGTGGGAAGGGTGATCATTGTTCCAGGGTTCCAGGCTTGTTTCTTGCACAGCCAGGAAGGTCAATCACTTATTTCTTAGTTTAGCAATACAGCTTCCTGCGTCACTTCTAACCCTCAAGCCTGCTCATTAGCCTACAGTATAGATATTTGTTATCACCTGTGTCTATGGGGCAGCAATGTGATCCAGAATGTAGAAAAGCTAAAGTCAGTACAAAAATACAATGCTTTTGGAAGGTAAATCAGTAAGCACATACCCTGTATTTTCAAAAAACAAAAGTTGCAGACATGTTTTAGAATTGTGTCAAGCTCCAGCACACCAAATGTCGGTGCCTGCAACAGGTTCATGTACCTATCAGAAGTCATGATGAGGGTTGACACTGAGGCTTGAGTGTCCATACCGTGGACATTCAGTTCTTCATCCCCCTGGCCGCACAGCATCACCAGTTGCCAGGCATCACAGTATCCCTGGTTGCTAGGATGCTGTTGGATGTGTAGCCGACAGCTTCCTAGCAACCAGTGATGCTGTGCAACCAACAGCTCCCTGGCAGTAGTGCTGTATAGCCACCAGAGTCCTAGAAACCAGTGATGTGTTTAGCCACCAGCATCATAGCAACCAGTGATGCTGTGCAGCCATCACTTAGCAACCAGTAAAGCTGTGTAGCCAACAGTGTCCTAGCAAATAGTGACACTGTGTAGACAACAGCATCCTAGCAACCAGTGACAAGAGGAAAAGGTGGCGAAGCACGCAAAGATACACACTATGGTCCCACTCTGAGTAATTTGGCCTGTCTCTGTACGCCAACATAGTGTTGGTCTTAATTACCTCCAGTTTCTTCATCTACATCCGGAGGTAAATCTTTTTATATCTGTCACAGCAGTAGCTAACCATTGTGAAAGTGTAGAAAGAACTACTTGAGTCTGCCACAATTGTCTGAACTCTTTACTAAACTGTGACAAGGCCTTCATGAATTAGGCGCAGGACTTTAAAGGAATCATACTGCCATAAAGTAAATGCACCTTTCTCCTACCTCCACTCTATAACTCCAAAACGCATTGACTCCTGCTGCCTTCCTTCTGGGTAAATGCACCTTTCTCCTACCTCCACTCTTAACTCCCAAAACGCATTGACTCCTGCTGCCTTCCTTCTGGTAAATGCACCTTTCTCCTACCTCCACTCTTAACTCCAAAACGCATTGACTCCTGCTGCCTTCCTTCTGGGTAAATGCACCTTTCTCCTACCTCCACTCTTAACTCCAAAACGCATTGACTCCTGCTATACTCAGAAACAAATGGTGTATTTATAATTTTTGTATATATTGACCAGCTCTCACCTTCAGCTGTACCCCTCTTACGACTGGTGTCTGTTTCCTGAAGAGAATCATCCCCCACTCCTCATGTGATCTTTATCAGCTTCAAATTTGGGGTGGAGTTTGAATGCTCATTTGAGCATCTCCCTATAAATTTAGATCAGCTTACATGGGGAGATCTCTGATGGGGGCACAGTCTGATGGAGGGGTGCTGCTTCCAGATTGGAGTTGCGCGCTTGAACGAGTGCGTAGAAAGAAGCAGTTAAACACAGCAGTTGAACTAAAGCAATGAGAACCCAAGCAGCAGGAAACACAACAACAGCAAGAAGCTCTACTGCATGCTGAAGCACATGCAAGCAAACAAACAAAAACAACACCCTGGGAAAACCACTCTCTTACATGCCTGAGACCCCACTCCGTTTAGTACCTTTATAATAATACACCCCTCTTCTCCTCTTCATATTACTAGCCAAACCTCAGCGCCCCCAAAAACTGTCACCAACATCCCCAACAACCTAGTGCACCACACTCCTCCCTCATTCTCCCCCACCCCCCACATACCCCACCACACCTTACCCCATCCAATAACTCATCCCTCTGTTGTTCCCTCAATTCCCCCCCCACACCATAGTACTGTATCCCATCTCCACCCTCACTGCAGCCCCGACAACCTCATCTCCCCCTTACTCCCACAGCTCTCCTACTACTAGCTCTCTTCCACCTCCCCAAAATGCCCTTCCACTCCTCCTTCTCCCATTTCCCCTCTCCTCTGTTCCCAAAATCCATTCGCACGCCCCCACTATATCCCCTCTGCCCCTCCCAAACAATTGTATATCGTGTCCCCACATTAGCTTCCCTCACCCCACCTATGGGCACCCCGCCACCACTCCTCCTATTACTCCGCAATCAACCTCACCCACTGACCCAACACCCTCCACTAGGAGTTTTCTCATCAACGCTCCTGCACATCCCCGCTCCCATGCCCGCCCTTTCCCCTCACCCTTCTCCTCCTCCTAAGCCGCAGGGGACATCTCTCCCCCCAATCCTGGCCCTCCCACACCTCCCTCACCCACTCCCACCCTCCCGCCTCCACATCCTACAAGCAACCCCGACCCCCCCCACAACTTAGTACTGTCCCCCTGCTCCCTAAACTTCCCTCCCCCCCCACCGTTTTACCATGTTCGCACTCCTGAACGCCCGTTCGGTGTGCAACAAGGCTTACCGCCATCCCCCCCATCCACGACCTCTTTGTTTCCCGCTCCCTCAACCTCCTAGCGATCACGGAAACCTGTGATCCATCCCACTGATTCTACCTCCCCTGCGCACTCTCCTATGGAGGTCTCACCTGTACCCCACTCACCCAGGCCTAACGGTCGTAAAGGGTGGTGGGGTTGGTCTGCTCCTGTCAAACCCAAGCACCTTCCGAGTCCTCCCAAACCCCCACTCCCCCCTCCTCCTCGACCTCCCCTCGAGGCCCACTGCCTCCGACTATTCTCCCCAACCCCCTGACGATTGCTGTGACTATAACCGGCCCCACTGGATCCATACCACGCTTCCTGGATGACTTCTCCTCCTGGCTACCCTTCTGTCCCCCCCTCCTCTGAGCTACCCCCCCATCATTCTTGGGGATTTCAACATCCCTGTGCAACCTCGACAACCCGGACACCATTCCCCCGGCTCTCCTCCACCTAACCTCCTCCTTTTGCACTTGCAACAGTGCATACATTTCCACACCACCCACTCCGACGTAAATATCCTGGACCCTTGTCTTCTCCAACCGCTGCGCTCCCCAACAACCTCACTAACACACTACCCTTCCCTCTCTCTGACCAACAACCTGATCATCCCCCCACCTTCTCTATCTCCTCGTCCTCCAACTATATGCCTACCCCTCCAAATGTCCACACTACTACCAGCCGTAACCTCCGCAACCTTAAACCCTGCCTCCCTCCACTGGCTGCATACTGATCAACTCCACTACCGCATCCTCCCCCGTCCATCCTGCCCCGACGTGGCTTTGACCACCCTACAACAATGCGCTCTCAACACACAGCCCTTGACTCACTAGCAGCCTTTAACCACACGCAACATCAGACCCCCCCACTGCTCCAGCCCTGGCAGCCTGATCACAACCAAAACCCCAAACGACACAGTCGTGCCCTGGAGCGACTATGGCCAAAACCAAATCCAACAACCTTCACCCTACAAATCGGCCTTCCGACCCTACCACCACCCACCCTCCATGCTGCAAACAGGCCTACTTCTGACCCTCATCAAGGCCCTCCTCCTCCAATCAATCCGCCGACTCTTCTCTGCCTTCACTCTCTACTCTCCCCACCCCCACCTCCCCCCCCCCTCCTCACTCCCCCCCACCCCTGAGATTGCCCCCCACTTAAAAACCACAATTCGCAAGGACATTGCCCCAACTCACACCCCCTGTCAACCCCCCCCTCGTCACACCCCTACCCCCCCTATCCCCCCTCCCCCCTCCGACCCCGCAGGCCTCATTAGTCCCTGCCAAACTCTCTCCAACCCCCTTCACCCCTCACTCAGCTACCCCCCTGCATCACCCCTCTCCCCACCTCCAGCCCCACCACTGCTCTGACCCTCCATCTTCCACCCCACCCCACTACATTCCCATCAGAAGCACCCCCAACACTCCGCAACCTTTGACCTTACTACCATCGACTAGAAGTCCCCTTCAAGATCCTCTCTGATGCCCGCCTCACC